GCATCTGCTCTTTTGGATTGGTGCATGCACCATAGTGGTTCCTAAACATTTTTGGTATTCCCTGGAAAGTCTAAGCCAGGGAAGGAACAAGGTGATGGCCAAGATGCAGAGGAGCCATGGAGCCAGACAGATGGGCCTAAGCCAGCCAAATCCTTGGCTCCAGCTTCCCAGAGGCACCAGGGCTCAGGTTTTCCCAGCCACAGACCCCAACAATAGATTCAGCGGGACACAGAAGCCAGTGCAGAGCCCAGGTCAGCATGTGTGGATCAGCCGCCCTCTCTGCCATCCCCCTATTCTCAGGCTCCTTCCTGGATAGAGGGAGGTGTCTCATGAGAAAGATGAGTGTCTGCTCCAAAGAAACCAAATGAACCAAGAGAGGCAGATTTGAGTCAAGGGAAACGTAGATGACATGTAGTGGGAGATTTAATTCTCATTCCCTAGTGAAGAGGGTCCTCCAGAGCAAATGAGATTGTTACTAAAAATAAGTACATCAATTTACAATGAATATAAATTTTCACCAAGATATATATATGTATATATATAAATAATTCCTTCCAAATACATATATATGAAATGATTCCTTCCAAATGGCTAAGATGTCAAAACAAACAGGATTTTTTTATTAAGACAGGGTCTCGGCTTGGCGCCTATGGCTCAAGTGGCTAAGGCGCCAGTCACATACACCTAAGGTGGCGGGTTCGAATCCAGCCCAGACCCACCAAACAACAATAATGGCAGTCAGGCATTATTGGTCCGGCAACCAAAAAATAGCCGGGTGTTGTGGCGGGCGCCTGTGGTCCCAGCTACTTGAGAGGCTGAGGCAGGAGACTCGCTTGAGCCCAGGAGTTGGAGGTTGCTGTGAGCAGTGAAGCCACAGCACTCTACCCAGGGGGACAGCTTGAGGCTCTGTCTCAAAAAAAAAAGACAGGGTCTCAATCTGTCACCTATGCTAGAGTGAAGTGACATCATCATAGCTCATTGCAATTCCCAAACCCTGGCTCCAGCGATCCTCATGCCTCAGCCTCTTAAGTAGCTGGGACTACAGGCACCTGCTACAACACCTGGCTATTTTTTCTATTTTTTGTAGAGACAAGGTCTCAAACTTGCTCAAGCTGGTCTCAAACTCCTGGCCTCAAACTCCTGCCTCAGCCTCCCAGAGCCCTAAGGTAACAGGTGTGAGCCATAACGCCCCATCAAAATTTTCTTTTTATGCTTTGAAAGATGACTTTCTACTCTCTGGAAAATGTGCCATCTAGAATGGCTTGTCCTCTGAGGGTCACCAGGGGCAGTAGCTATCCTGAACCCGTGTGCACAAGAAAAGACAAAAATCAACAACAATAAAAAAAAGACTGAAAAACCCAAATGATTTTTATCTACATTATATGGGAAAATCCCTCAACCCTCACCACAAAAAAACCAGCTCTTTAACCTGAAGACAGCCCATATTTATCGGGTTTTCCCCCCTAAAACCAGAATGTCCCTCCAGGAAACTCTCAGCTCTCCTTCGGGCCGTGGGCAAGGGTTTCTTTCTCACTCCCAGCCCCTCTGGCTTCTCTCCACAGGCAGGTGCTTGGTCCTGGTGGTGTGCACACTCCACAGAGCTTGGTGATCCTTTTTCTCCCACTCCGACTGACCTAGCTAAGCAACAGTATATGGAAGATACACTTGTGTCCACCCATATTCACTCCCCTGTGGCCATGAAGTCCAGCATGACTAGGAAGGACCTTGTGTCCCCAGGTTGTGCATTTCCTTGCTCTGGTCTGTACCACGGTGAGGCGGAGCCCTGGGCTGCCAGCATGGCACAGTCGAGCCATCGTGCAGAGACGGAGGTCCACTGCCATCTACGATCGGCTCACTTGCTCCTGCTGTATCTGTTTCTCCTTCTGATAAATAGAAATAACCCCCTGCCCCCAGCACTGGTGTCAGAACAACATGAGCTCCACTGATGGTCTCTGTAAATTCTGTTTTGAAAATGGCCTGGGGTCCTCAGGGGGCTGAAATGAGTCATGACAATCTGACAGTTACCAATGACAGCCATGCAGCATGAACACGAAATAAACCTGTGTTGTATTAGGCTACCAAGGGGTGTTAACTTATTGTTACAGTATACCTGGGCCTACCATGTCCAATAACAAGGACTAGGACCTTTTTTATTGCTGTGTAACAAACCTCCACAAACTCAGTTGCTTAAAACAACCTCATCTGGTAACCCACGTTGCTGTAGCTCAGATGCCTGGGCTCGGCTTAGATGGAATATCTGCTCAGGGTTCCACAGACTGAAATTGAGGTGTCCGTTGGACCGTGCTCCTTCCTGGAGTTCCCGATCCTGTTCCAAGCTCACATGACAGTTGTGATTGTAGGCCTGGGGTCTCCCCTGTCTTGCTGAATGAGCCCTCTCTCAGCGACAGACACCACCCATGTTCTCCCGCCCTATGGCCTCTCCATAGCATGACGGTTGTTTCTTCAAGGCCAACAGAACCTTGTCTGCTGCTGCTTCAAATCTCTCTGACCACTTGACTCACCTGATTATGTCAGGCCCACCCTGTGTGGTTGGTCTTCCTTTTCCTTAACTTCCAGTCAACTGGGAGGCAACCTCAAGTACATCTGCAAAATTCCTTCACCTTTGCCATATAAAGTAACCTGATCATGGGAGTCATAGTCCATCAATTCAAATATCTCACAGGGAGGGGATTATATAAGAGCGTGAATCAGTGAGAGTCATCATAGAATTCTGCCTAACCCAGACATTTAAAATATTCTGATGAATATTAGCTTTAGAAATGTAGGATCCACCCAAAACTTTACCTTAACTTCTTCCTTGCCCCCACATAAGAAGACCTCTTCCTGAGTTTTCTCAAAGTGTGGTGGTCTATGGACCAGCAGCATAAACATCACTTGTGAGAAATGTAGACTCTTAAGTCACACCTCAGACCTCAGGAATCAGTGTCTTATTAACAAGACTCCTGTTGTAATTGAGATCCCAAATGGCTCATGTCCTGAGACAGCTCCCTCATAGGCTTGTCACTGGGTGTGATATCTGCTTTCTTCCTGAGGAAGTGGTTCTCCAACTGTGGTCCCCAGACCAGTAGCATCAGCATCACCTGGGAGCTGATTAGAAATACAGATTCTCAGGTCCCTGAATGATACCCTGAATCAGAAAATCTGGGTAGCCCCAGCAATCTGTGTTTTAATAAGTCCACCAGCTGGCTGGGCACAGTGGCTCATGCCTGAATCCTAGCACTCTGGGAGGTGGAGGCAGGTGGATTGCTTGAGCTCAGGAGTAAGAGACCAGCCTGAGCAAGAGCAAGACCACATCTCTACTAAAAATAGAAAAATTAGCTGGGTGTAGTGGCTCACACACACCTGTAGTTCCAGCTACTCAGGAGGCTAAGGCTAAAGGATCTCTTGAGCACAAGAGTTTCGGGTTGCTGCAAGCTCTGACGCTACAGCACTCTACCCAGGGCTATAGAGTGAGACTCTGTCTCAAAAGTAATACTACTACTACTACTAGTAAGTCCAGCAGATGATTCCGATGCAGGCTCAAGTTTGAGGACCACTGTCCAAAGGCAGCGTCATGTGGAAAGCAGTGAGGATAGCATAAAAAGGCAATCTGAACTTCATGTCATGTTGTTGCCAGGGGCCCACTAAGCTCTCCTGGTGGTGGGGAGGAGGGGTCAGGGTTTCTGGATCTTCTGCATCACTCAGCTCGAGCTGTCAAACAGTTGGGCATTGCAGGTTGGGGGTGGGAGCAAGGATGTTGAGGGAAGGCCAGTGGGCAGAATAGGAAGAGGGCTCCCAGGCCAGCAGACCTTCTTAAGCAGAGACTGTCCTCCCAGCTCCCCCAAACCATTAAGCTAAGCTTCCTTCTTGCCTTTTAGATTAAGCAAAGAAACAAAGAAAAAAATGGAAAAGAAAACTACAATTAACATGAATAAGATTTTAACTGAGGTTTGAAGGAAGGTGCACGTCTGTGACGTGGGAAAGGCAGGTGAGCTGGGGGAAAGGGTTCCCGCTGGTGTGGGGAGGGGAGAGCTGGAATCATAGGCTGGGGAAGAGTGAGTCTGGTGGGAGAAAGATGGAGCCCCTCCCACTGCAGACACAGTGCTGCGGGGTTGGGAAGGTCAGGATGCCCAGTTGTCTCCATTTATTTATACAAGAGAAAACCCAGAGAGATAAAGTCTTGACTAAGATCACACCATCGTAGAGGCAGAGTCGGGGTCCTGGGGCTCAGAGAAGAGGAAAGGCTCCAAAAGGAAATAGGATTCAAGAGAGGCAGCTTCCAAGAGTAAGAGCAAACATCTATGGAGCACCCTCTTGGTCTCAGTCTCTGCTCTAAGTGCTTCACATTATTCGGATTCATGACGGTGATGGTCACCACCACCAAGACTGCTATTTGCAGATGGGGAAAGTGAGCTGTGTGACATCACATGGCCAGTGGCAAAGCTGGACTTTGAGCTCAGGCCAGTCAGCCCCACATTGCAGCCCTGACTGTGCCCTGCTCTCTCCCACAGACACCACCAGCCTGACCGCTCAGCCAACACCGAGAGCTCAGACGCCAGAGAACCTGTGCTTACATCTAAACCAACCAACCAGTCTCCCCTGGAAAATCCCAAGGAAGGAAGCCTCCGCCTTCAGGGAGCATACATCTCACAAGTGCAGCCTCCCATGAGGTGGAAACTGTTCTGTGACAATCAGTTTCCTCCTGTCAGATTCCACAGCACTTTTTCCTGTCACCTAGAACCACAAAAGTTCTCAGAAACCCTATGATCTAGCCCTTCTGGGTTACAGATAAAGAAATGAAGCTCAGGGAGGTCAAGGGATGCTCAAGGTCAACCTTCACACAGGCGAAGGAAGTCACAGATCAGGAAGGTCATGCAGGCGAGGTCTGGACTCAGCAGAGAGCCCAGAGTCAGAAATGGACTCAGGTGTCCGGACTCCCGGAGAGCACTCGTTCTCTCTCTCTCTCTCTCTCTCTCTCTGTCTCTCCCTGAGCCTCTTACCTGCAGCTCTGCATTCCTTCACCTTGTTGCTTCTTGCAGGGGGAAGGCTGCCAGGTCAGACTTTCACCTTCAGTGGAAGCTTAGCTGCCCGGACAGGGATTTATAACCTCCTTAGGAACAAAGATTTCCTAACTGTCTGTGTCACTGACTCCTGATGGGTGGTGGTGGACACACCTTTTTCTTCCTTACAGGGGAGCACCCCCGGCTGCAGGATCGGGTACGTGATCACTCAGATGGGGAAGTGGCCAAGGAAACTCTGCGTAAGTTTCCCTATTTTTTTGTGACTCGCTAAAAAATTACGTACTTCCAGCTGAGAGGTGGTTTTAAAGTGATATATATTTTACCCAACTATGGCCCCATGAAAGAGAAAAAGAGGCCCTTGGTCTTTAGCCAAGGGGAGAATTTGTTTCTCTCCCCTCCCCCAAGGAATCCTTCTCAGATCTGAGAAAGGTCAAGTTTATGTTTTAGTTGAAGTTGATTTTTTTCAGAATCCTAGAAGATTTTTAATTGTTAAGCAAGGAGTTGATTTTCCAATTCTTTGTTACATTTTGTGGAGTTCACCTAACTGAATAGTTTGTATTTTGAAAGTGGAAAGCCAGCACTGAGTCATTCCTATACAAAAAAAAAGATGTTTCCTAAACCCCTCAGACAGGCCCCGGGTACTGCTGGCTGCTCCACTTTCCCTCCCACATCGTCTCCATAGAATTAGAGAGAGGTCAAACCAGGGTACTGCTCAGAGCCCCTAGATCCCCTGCAAGCCTCACAAGTGACAGGACCACTTCCATCCTGCCTGTCACCACCTCTCCCCTCCCTGAATCTAATCCACACTGGCCTCCCTGGACAGGATTCAAACACCTGAGGACATCAAGTGGGAGGGGGCAAGGACTAGGCCACGGGCTCCCCAGAAGGTCAGGGCTGGGGCTTAGATACCCCAACCCTCACCCTATGTGGGGGACTGTATCACATAGTTTAGGCAGAGGTGTAATTTGGAATTCCCCTGCTGGTGGAGGGAATACAAGGACACTTTCCAAAATGTACCTGAAAATCCATGTTATTAATCTTAGTGACACTTCCTGCCTGACTTATTCAGCTCTGTATGTTCTTTCACAGGTGAAAAGGCAGATAGAAAAACTTGTAGAGAAAGATTAGGAATTTCAGACCCAGAATAAACAGCTCACAGTCCGAAGGACCTTAGAAAACTCAACATAATAAAAATCAGAGAAGAATACAATGTTTGAGCTAGATGAAAACTCAGAGATGACCAAATCCATCCTCAAGTTTAAAGAAGAGAAAATCCAGGTCTGGGCCTTTAGAGGTCCACAGCTGAGTAAGCTGCACTCATTTCACAGCGTACGTCACTTCACGATGGTAGTGTTCTCACGGAAACAGCGAACACCTCCCCCAAATTGGAGTTTGTTGGGCTAAGTGTAAATGTCACACTGTATCCCTGTTTGTTCTTTTTCTAAGAACCAGTAGAAGGTGGAATATTTGGTTCTTTTTTATTTCAGATTCGTATGGGAGATATATCATTTTACATAATAAGACTGAAGAGTGAGCTATAAATTTGGGGTCAAGCCTAATCAGTTTAAAGAGCAAGAATTCACCCCAGCAGGAAGATCTCACCAAATGCCATCATCATGCCAGCACAAAGAACGTGCCGGTAATCAAGTTCCTTCTTTCCACAATAGCTCTGTGTTCAACCAAACACCTCATGCCCAGATGACCTTCCTTGGTTGGGATCCTTCTCACTGAACAACAGGGGCGGCCCACAGCTTAATATAGCCACAGAGAGGAAGCAAAATCACAAAAGCTGCCTTTGGCTGTGCTGAAATGTAACTGCGGATCTTGTGATCTACAAAGAGGAATTTACACAACTTCACTTCTATCTATGGAAAAACTCGATCACAGAGTCACAAGAATTGCCTGAACAGTCTTTTCAAGAACAAATGCTCAGACCCAACATTCACCCAAGAGTAAGTGGCCAGGCCTATGGTCAGACTCATGGCTACTTTTCCTGTACCCCGTCCTCTGTTCATGGCCCACACTGTGCTGTTCCCACCATCATCTGCACACTGGGCTCCATTTCTCCACCAACTGATGGGAAATGGACAAAGTACAGAACGTGCTGAAGCATCTCGAAACCCTCTGAGGTTTGGAGTGAAAGTTACCTAGGATGTTGATTGCAAGAACTGAAGCAACAGGAGGCCTTTCTGTTCTGGTTCAGAGATTAACAGGGCTCTGAAAGCCCTTATGGCAAAGTTTGACCCCCTTTCCTTCCTCATAATATACAAAGCAGAGGGTAGGGACAGGTGAGAAGGGAACTTGGGGAGAGGAGGAGGACATATGTTGACTTCTATGACATATATTATAGCAGGCATAAATTGTCCCTAGTTTTATGGGACAGCCTCAATTCTAAATACTCTGTCATATCATCCCTGTACATTTCCTCATTCTTATCAGATCAAAGTTCCATCATTTTGAGTCAAGAAAATATGGTCAACAAAACCATAGGATAAATTTAGTAATTAAACCCCACAAAAATAAAAACTCTAAGGCCTGCCCTGGTCAACTGAACAATAGCAGAAAAAACTCTCTGTCTTGGTCCCTTTTGCCATAGAAGGCAACACGGTTCACAGTGTCCAGGGATTGAGACATGGACATCGTTGGGCTCTGTTATTCAGCCTACTGCAAGTTGCTCCCTCCAGTCCTCCTGGTGTATGTATGCTTTACAAGTCTACATGGAAGCCATTTAAAAATGGCGCTGCATTAATACGGATTCAAACACTCTAATTCCTTCCACATCTAAAGCTCAAGTTGTCTAGAAAGCATAGACAAAGTATGCATAGAGCCTTCACATCCACAGGAGAGATTTTCTTTTGCTCTTCTTTTAGGAGAAGATCCCATCTTCATGGCAGAAAGCCTTTTTTGTTCCAGGCTTTCCTTTTGCCTCCTTCTCCCACATTGGGTTTCTCATCCACTGAGAAAGGATGAGACTTCCAGGAGGCCACTACTCATAGGAGAGCGGGAGAGTGAAGCACTCTGGGCACTGCATACTCAATGGGGTCTGGTGCCCTTGGAGGGAGAGAAACTGGAAGTGGGACCAGGATGCAGCTGTCCTCTCATCCATGCTCTGAGCCTTGTGGGCACTAACAGCCATGTCCACTTGCCCTCCAATCATCCAAGTCAAATCAAGTCCCCAGTGCCCAGGGAACTCGCCTTCCCTGCTGTCCTATCTACATGGCCAAGCTCTCCCTCCACCCTACTCTGACCTGCCTCCCGTGCAGGAGGTGGAAGCCCCAGCTTCTGTGGCCTCACCCATCTTTTTCTGGGCCTGTCCCAGAAAGAAACCCTAGAAGCCAACCCCACAGAGCTCTGACAGGCCACTCTCTGGGGTGGACCCACAGTCTCTGACTACAACCAGAAGGGAAGATGACTTCCTCATGACAAAAATTAGATTTTCATTATCTGTTGGTGAGCAATACAATGATCATTCATCCTGCTATTAACTGTGCTGCAGAGAACCAGCTTGAGTGTCCCCTCCCACCCCCACCACCCAGGAGAGGTTTTCTTGCCAAAAGTCCCAATCACTTTTTGATCTGGTCCAAACCAACAAGAGCAGACTCCAAGTCATAATGAGCTCACAGACATAATCAAGTCCATCTCTGTTACGCACCTGCCAGGAAGATGCTGCCACCCACAGTGGCTGAGGGGATGCTGGTCCCACCACGGGTCAGAGTGAAGCTTCAGGCCGAAGCTCATCACCCCGCAAGCGGACACTGGAGATATTCCCACCAGGCTCAGCGGGAAGAGATGGTGGGATGACTTTGGATAACTGCCAGGACCTAACGCCAGAACTGACCCTCAGCCCATTCTCCTCCTGCTCTTCCCTCTTCTCAGTCCCCCATGCCCACCAACCCCACTAGGTATTCCACTCAACAGCCCATGGCTCCTGGCAGCTCTTGTTACAAGGAAAACTTACAAATAGATGGTTAATTGAATTGACTTTAGGCTCACAATAGAGGTGGTACAAAAAATAAATAAAGACGAGGTCTCTTCTCCAAACTCTGATGTGTGTAGGTGCACGAGTGTGGTTAGGGGTATGCACGTGTTTGCTTTCATGAACTGCTACCCTTCATTCTAGCTTCCCCCAGAGCCATGCCCAGCCCTCCCCCAGGGCTCCTAAGCAACAAAGACTCTAATAGCTACACCTAGTGGGGCCTCCAGCAGGTGAAACTGGAGTGTATTAGAAGCTTTCAGTGTATTCAAAATTAAAGACCCAGGCCCAAACACAGCCACAGGCACTAGACTTGATTCTGAAAGTTTACGTTGAGAAGATAAATGCTTTAGGACTGAAACAAGCCTCATAGGCAAAACTCACTTGGAGGCGAAACCTCAAAGTCCAGTCTCAGCCTTTGTGACTGTGTCATCTTTGGTCAAACTGCCTTTCTGACCACTCTCACTGACCCACTCCCAGCCACCCATTGTATCATATTCCCAGCTTCTGTATTACCTTCCAGCTTCTGGGCAATTCTTTCCTTGACTCATGAGACTTCCTCTGCTGTCCAAAGTCTCTCAGCAACATATAAGACACTTTGCTTGGTTCAGCTGATGTCGGAGCCCCCTTGCTTCTGAAAAGCCCTGACGGTGCTTGAGTGACCCTGCAGAATCCAAACATACCCACTGCCTTCTTTGCATGTTATAGAAAATAATAGCTTCCTGCAAACCCCACCTGTGTGCCCTGATGTGCTAGCCTGGCC